ACAGCAATCCGGCACTGTTTTTGACGAATAAACGGATAATTCTAAAAACTCTGACAAACTTGTGTTGTAGTCGTAATGGATCGTTGTGTTATCGATAAGAATGTCGATTTTTTTCAGATACGAATCAAGAAACACCGATGGTATGATCGCTTATTAAAATCACGAGACCCGTTGATAATATCGTGTGGATGGAGGCGTTTTCAAACTGTTGTAAGATTTTAGATTTTTTGAAACTTTTAGGGCAAAGCGTGGAAGATCTCTTTTAGGATTTCACTGTGTGGGAGAAAAAAAAGCATTCAGGAATTAGCTACCAAGTTAATGTCAAAAAAATTAAAATTACAATGCGCAGGCTTACCTACATGGAAGATCTGAATGGCGTTACTTTCAGTATTTTCATTAATTTTCAAAATTCGACTGTGCTCCTCTCCACGGTGGTAGGCCAGGAACGCCAAAAAAAACTGCATATGTTAACGCATAGACGATTTCAGGCCTCCGTCCTCTTCCAGTCTTCTAGCCAGAGATATTCATTGTTTATATCTGTAAAGTTCCTACAACACTTAACTGTTTAGAAGTAGTTTACTAGCAGAATTCATCCGCAAGCAAACTTCTCGGTAAGCCCTTTCTTTTGGTGATCAGAACTGACGCAGGTATAAAAGCAAATCAAGTTGAATGCAGTCTAACGTGCATAAGTACCAGTTTACCATCGAAACGAATCGAACTCAGAATTAAGGCTTTAGGTTCTCCTGTGAGGAATTTGAATGAACGGCTTATTGCTAAGCATACTGTAGCAACCAGGTTGGCTCTGGAAATGTAAATGGCGGAAGATTACAATATGATAGGAGAAGATAAGGATCAGATAAGACGTTTCGGTCCATTAAGTCATATGCGCCTTAACTCAACACCACGCGACAGCACCTCGTCAGTATGAAAATGAAAGAGAAAAGAGGAAGAAGACAGAAGGAAGCGGAAGGAACGACGATCTGATAATGGGATTAGACGGAGTAAGAGTGGGGTGAAGAAGGAACTGAATCAAGTCTGACTGCCGAGCTAATGTCCTGTGATAGAACAGATCTGCATTCGTCATCATGTTTTCAGGTCATCTATTCGATGCAGGATCACAACATGCGACAGCGATTCC